TTAAAATGACTTCCTATGGGATACGTTCACATTTCACCCGGTGCGTTTTTTGGAAAGGGGCAGGGACATTTGGAATGCAAAAAGCTGTGTTTTTGGTTCTATAGACTTCAATGGAAACACTGCAGTTTTCTACCGTTTGCATGTATTGCGTTTTCTGCTGCGTTTTGTAGAAACGTGGCACAGTCCATTTAGCATGACTTCCTATGGGACACGTTCACACTTGCGCGTTTTCACCCGGTGCGTTTTTTTGGAAAGGGGCAGGGACTTTTTGAACGCAAAAAGCTGCATTTTAGGTTCTATAGACTTCAATGGAAACGCTGCGGAAACGCACAGCAGTCCATGTAACATGATTTCCTATGGGACACGTTCAGATCTCCGCGTTTTCACCCCGGTGCGTTTTTTGGAGAGGGTCGGGGACTTTTTTGAACACAAAAAGCTGCGTTTTTGGTTCTATAGACTTCAATGGGAATGCTGCAGAAAAGCAAGTATTGCATTTTTGGTGCGTTTTGCATTGTAAATCTGCCTAACAAGAAAAAAAAAAAAAAAAAAACAAGAACGCAGGTTCAAAACGCAAAGTAAAACGCAATGCAGAAACAGCTCAAACACAACCTGCATAGGTGTGAACCCAGCCTAAGGTCTGTGCACACAAGTCGGGTAGAAACGCACAGCAGTCCATTTAACCCGATTTCCTATGGGACAGGATCACATCTCCGCGTTTTCACCGTGGTGCGTTTTTTTGGCAAGGGTCAGGGACTTTTTTTGAACGCAAAAGGTTGCGCTTTTTGGATCTATAGACTTCAATGGGAATGCTGCAGAAGAGCATGTAGTGCGTTTTTGATGCATTTTAATCTGCCTAGGAACAAAAATAAAAAAACATTTAAATAAAATAAAAAAAAAACAAAATTAAAAGGCAGATTTAAAAAACGCACTACATGCTTTTCTGCATCATCTCCATTGAAGTTGTGGTGCGTTTTTGCTGCTTTTTTTTCTTGTTGCTAGGCAGATTAAACTGCAAAATGCGTCAATAAAAACAGCAAAAATGCACTACATGCTTTTCTGCAGCGTCTCTATTGAAGTTCTGCGGTGCGTTTTTGTACTTGTTTTTGCGGCGTTTTTTTTTCTTGTTGCTAGGCAGATTAAAATGCAAAATGCGTCAATAAAAGCAGCAAAAATGCACTACATGCTTTTCTGCAGCGTCTCCATTGAAGTTTTGCAGTGCGTTTTTGCTGCGTTTTTTTTTTTTTTTTTTTCTTGTTGCTAGGCAGATTTAAAAATGCAGCAAAAAACGCACTACATGCTTTTCTGCAGCGTCTCCATTGAAGTTTTGCAGTGCGTTTTTGCTGCTTTTTTTTTTTTCTTGTTGCTAGGCAGATTTAAAAATGCAGCAAAAACGCACTACATGCTTTCTGCAGCGTCTCAAAAAAAAAAAAAAAAAAAAGATCAAACTCAAACTGCATAGGTGTGAGCCTTAGTAAGTAACCCCCTAAAACCCCAATCCTCGGGGGTCCCTCCTCGAAGCCGTACAGCGGCAGCACTGGCACTCCTACAAGGGAGTCATAAACACGGGATCAACAGGATCAGGAACGGCATTGTCTGCTCAAGTCGCTGGAACAAACATCGCCCGTAACTTAGGAACACGACTTGGAACTAAAACTTCTTTTTTTTTTTTTTTTTTCTTGGACCGGCTGGCGAGTGGCTGGCGGTGTAACATGAAGTGTCCTATGAACACGGATCCTAAGGCTCCACGCACACGGGACGTTTTAAAGTCACGCTAAGTCCTCCTGCACACGGGACGTTTTTACAGCGGCTGTTTTTGGCATTTGACTTTTTTTTCTACAGCCAGTAATCCCCCCCAGCATTTTATCCTAGGTGACCCCCCCCCCCAAAAAAGGGGGGTTTTTTTTTTTGTTAAAAAAAAAAGTGCTAAAAAACGCAAACGCATGAAAATGCAGCTAAACGCCAATGCAAAAACGCAAAAAAAATCTGAAAAACTCAGGTTTTTAACATGATTTTACACAGCTAATTTTTTTTGGCAGGGATGTTTTTTGGTTGGAAAAAAAACAAAAAAAAAAACAACAAAAAAACAAAAACAAAAACGCAAGACTAGTGGGTTTCTAGAGGAGTTTTTTTAGTTTTAGTAAAAACGCTCAAATGCTGAAAAAACGCAGCAAAACACCGCAAACCAGCGTTTTCAGGCCTTTAATTTTTACCCAAAAATTTTGTAAAATACACGAATGCGGAAAATGTCACTAAATGCAGGAAAACGCAGCTAAACGCCAATGCAAAAAAGGCTAAAAAAAAAAAAAAAAAAAAAAAAAAATCTGAAAAAAAAAAAAAAAAAAAAAAAAAAAGACGCAGGACTAGCGGGTTTCTAGAGGAGTTTTTTTTAGCTGTAAAAACGCTCTAATGCTGAAAAACGCAGCAAACCAGCATTTTTAGGACTTTTATTTCCAAAAAATAAATTTTTTTTAGTAAAATACGCAAATGCGGAAAATGTTGCTAAACGCAGAAAAACGCAGCTAAATGCCAATGCAAAAGCGGTTAAAAAAAAAATCTGAAAAAACTCAGGTTTTTAACATGACTTTTCACAGCTTTTTTTGTTTTTTGGCAGGAATGTTTTTTGGTTGGAAAAAAAAACCAAAAAAAAAAAAAAAAAAACGCAGGACTAGCAGGTTTCTAGAGGAGTTTTTTTAGCTGTAAAAACGCTCCAATGCTGAGCAAATGCGGTAAAACGCCACAAACCAGTGTTTTAAGGACTTTTTTTACCCAAAAAAATGTTTTTAGTAAAATACGCAAATGCAGAAAATGTCACTAAACGCAGGAAAACGCAGCTAAACAATGCAAAAACACACAAAAAAAAAAAAGCTGAAAAACTGTACACAGCTAACGTTACCAGCATTATCAAAATGTGCCGTGCAGGGGTGGACTGACCATTCGAGCACTCCGGCACTGCCCGAGGGCCCGGGGTCAGTAGGGGGCCCCATGAGATGCCCCTGGTACCTTTTTCATAGGCTTTTTTGAGTTTGGGCAAGGACACAGGGGCCCCATGATCCCCTATTGCCCGGGGGCCCCATGAGTTGTCAGTCCACCTCTGGTCCCGTGTGCAGGAGGACTAAAAACATTGTTTTTTCTGCCGTTTTTTTTTTTTAGTGTTTAGCTGTATTTTGCCACGTTTTTTCAAGGTTTTTTTTTTGTTAAAAAAAAGCCAAAAAACGCTGGCAGCTGTGTAAAGTTACGTTAAAAACGTGTTTTTCAGCTTTTTTTTTTTAGCGTTTACCTGTGTTTTTCCACATTTGTGTTTTAGCGGGTTTTTTTGGTTAAAAAAAAAAAGTCCAAAAACGCTGGTTTGTGGCGATTTATGGCGTTTTTCAGCGTTAGTGCGTTTTTACAGCTAAAAATAAACTCCTCTAGAAACTCGCTAGTCCTGCGTTTTTTCCAGCCAAAAAAAATGTTGATTACAGTCTATGTGTGTATGGACACATAGGATAACATGCTGGGGGGGTTACTGGCTGTAGAAAAAAAAAAAAAAACCCCACATAAAAAAAGCCAAAAACATCCGCTGTAAAAACGTCCCGTGTGCAGGAGGACTCAGCCCTCACGCACACGGGGTGTTTTGATAACGCTGGTAACATTAGCTCTGTAAAGTCACGTTAAAAACCGGAGTTTTTCAGTCTTTTTTAGCGGTTTTTGCATTGGCGTTTAGCTGCGTTTTCACGCGTTTGCGTTTTTTAGCAGTTTTTTTTTTTTAACCAAAATAAACCCTTTTTGGGGGGGTCACATAGGATAACATGCTGGGAGGGGGGGGGGGGGGGGTTTACTGGCTGTAGAAAAAAAACATCAAAAGCCAACCAAAAACATCCCGTGTGCAGGAGGACTCACAAATATAACCACAAAAAAAAACCCCAATAAACAATAAACATTCCAGTAACCATGAAGGGCTCTAAATCCTCATTTTAGACAATATTTATTTAAAAAAAAATATATATATAAGCTCACAAACTGTACCTAGTGTTTCTAGGGTTGTCAAGCCAGGAGAACATTTCCAGGGTTGTCAAGCCAGGAGAACGTTTCCCGCGTTTCTAGGGTTGTCAAGCCAGGAGAACGTTTCCCGCGTTTCTAGGGTTGTCAAGCCAGGAGAACATTTCCTGCGTTTCTAGGGTTGTCAAGCCAGGAGAGCGTTTCCAGGGTTGTCAAGCCAGGAGAACATTTCCAGGGTTGTCAAGCCAGGAGAACATTTCCAGGGTTGTCAAGCCAGGAGAACATTTCCCGCATTTCTAGGGTTGTCAAGCCAGGAGAACGTTTCCTGCGTTTCTAGGGTTGTCAAGCCAGGAGAACGTTTCCAGGGTTGTCAAGCCAGGAGAGCGTTTCCAGGGTTGTCAAGCCAGGAGAGCGTTTCCAGGGTTGTCAAGCCAGGAGAGCGTTTCCAGGGTTGTCAAGCCAGGAGAGCGTTTCCTGCGTTTCTAGGGTTGTCAAGCCAGGGGAACGTTTCCAGGGTTGTCAAGCCAGGGAACATTTCCTGCGTTTCTAGGGTTGTCAAGCCAGGGGAACGTTTCCTGCGTTTCTAGGGTTTCAAGCCTAGGGTTTTCCAGGGTTGTCAAGCCAGGAGAACGTTTCCAGGGTTGTCAAGCCAGGAGAACGTTTCCAGGGTTGTCAAGCCAGGAGAACGTTTCCTGCGTTTCTAGGGTTGTCAAGCCAGGAGAGCGTTTCCTGCGTTTTGTTCGTTTTTTATATATATATCATAGAAAGGTTAAAGTTCGACTATAAAATAAAGCTTACATTCCAGGGGAAGAGTTCCCAGAGTTCCAAATGGGCTCTGCCAGTGATGTGCAAATAGAAAAACATTGGAAAGTTCAGGTAGGACTGTGACCTGCTGATGAAGACGTCAAGGTGGACCTTCCAACAACAGGAATTAAATAGCATCGGTGTCCCCCCCACCCCACCCCATCCATCCCCCCCATCCATTCATCCATGCCCTCCGAGACGTCAACAGGGAATGTCAGCTATACCAAAGATTCACAGACTTGTGCAGAATCCGAGTCCTGGCTATGCATGGAACTTAATCCCGTGTCCGAATCTTCGTCGTTCCCTTCGCAGTTTGTACACCTTTCCACCTCCTTCTCCACCCAAACGTTTGGAGCGTCCACAGAGCTCCTCTCCACAACTTGGGAACACCCTGGACTGTGCTCCTCAGAGTCCTCCTGAGGTTCGGAGAGTTCCACGGTGCTCAGGCTCTGCAAAAGGCTTTGCAGTTCTTTCTCCTTCTCGTCCCACACTTCTTGGGTGTACTCCAAATCGGCCTTGATGGCCTCCAGGTCAGTGTTCAGTCTCAATCCTATGTAGAGACTGGTACCGAGCTCTGTTTTAACCCTTTCTTGCTCCAGGAAGAGTTCGTTCTCACAATCCTCCGGGTCGCCGCTCGTGGAGTCCGTGTCCTGGTCTTTGGAGGAGGACAGTTCCTCTTGACGCCGGTCCATCCACCTTTTGTTGAGCTCCTCTTGGATTTGGGCAGTGATCTGTTCGATCAAGGCCTCCTGCTGTGTGATCTGATCTTGCAGTAACAAGACCCCCTCGCATTTCTCAGCATAGTCCTCAAAGTCAACAAAAAGTTGGTCTGAAGAACCTTGGTCTTCCTTATCGCCGTCGCAAGACTTTTCAGGGACCACACCGACCAGGTAGGTGTCTTGGACGTAGTTGACCCCGTGTTTTTTCATCCTGTCAAAATGGATTTTAGCCTCGTACCTTTCTATGTCTCTGTCCAGGTCCTTGATCCGCTGCACCTGCTGACGGACGGTGTGATCCTGGGAGAGAACCAGATGTACCAGCGTTTCCATCTTCTCCACGGAGTTGGACTCTCTGGATAAACTCTCCTGCCGCTTTCTGTTCATCTTGGCCAGCTTGCGAAAAGCCTTCCTCACCACCCTGCGCTGCCTTTCTTGGGTCAACACCGCCGTGGCCTTCGTAGCTCCTCTGAAAGGACATGGGCTCTCCCTGCTGAGGACCACCTTGGCCTCGGCGCTTCTGGGACCTATATTAGGCAGCGAGGCCTCATTCCGGACCAGCACAAACCTCACGTTCTCCTGCTCCTCTCCCCAGGCTGTCCAGAGTCTCAATATTTTAGTTTTGTTGGGAAGTATCCTCTCGAACCCCCTCCACTTTTCCACAATGCAGTAAGAGTGAGGAGGCCCCAGCAGCATGGACCCTTCTTCGGGCTGCTTCTGGTTGTGGTCCTCCAGCAGGACTTTCACCACGTCGGCACAAGTGGTGCGTCTGGTGAGCCCCGAAACCAGCTTCTCCTCCTGGCACAGCCACACCGACACCTTCCACTCCTCCTCGCTCTCCATGGCTGCTTCGGAGAAGATCAGAAGTCGTGCAGAAGACCACAACTATAATCCATGCAGTGCGGAGCGGAAAGTTGGCGCTGGAGTTGGCAAGTGGAGATTCCTTTTGGGCGCAGGTGGAGATCTTTGCACTCAGGTGGAGATCTTTGGGCGCAGGTGGAGATCTTTGGGCGCAGGTGGAGATCTTTGGGCACAGGTGGAGATCTTTGGGCGCAGGTGGAGATCTTTGGGCGCAGGTGGAGATCTTTGCGCTCAGGTGGAGATCTTTGCACTCAGGTGAAGTTCTTCGAGACGTTCCTCATGATGCTCTCCTTTGGAGACGCTCTCCGAAGTCTGTTGACTTGGCTCAGCTTCTGGTTGTGTAGAGCACACGTCAGAGCCTCCCAGACGGAGCGCTCACCTCCCCGTGCAGCACAATGACACCAAAGCCTGCACTTGCCTCTCTGCTGCCTTTCCAGCTCTGTCTGAACCTTTTTTTTTTTTTTTTTTCTTTAATACCTCCTCCAGACACACATAGCCCCACCCCCACCAACTCCCCCCACCAAAGGGGCTGAGAGAGGCGCACACACACTACTATGAATTGTTCTCCAAGTTTTTCCTACAAGCCACCTAAGCAGGGGATTGCTGCTCATAAAAAGCAATGGATATAAATAGAAAGGTGGCATTCCCGGTTTTCTGTTGCCGTATTCATGGCCGCCCCCCACCCCCTCGAGAGCTCGCTGCGCCGACGGTGTCAAATGCACTTCGTGTTCATTCCCGGGAATTTGCATTTAGGAGTCCATCCTCTATTTTTGATATCAGTAAAGTTATTGCTGTGTTATTTGTCTATTTTTGATATGTTCCCGCATAGGGACGGACTGACAACTCATGGGGCCCCCGGGCAATAGGGGATCACGGGGCCTTGCCCACACTCAAAAAAAGCCTATGAAAAAGGTAGGGGGCATCTCATGGGGCCCCCTACTGACCCTGGGCCCTCGGGCAGTGCCCGAGTTCCCAAATGGTCAGTCCACCTCTGACTGATACACGCTTGTACTTTGTATCCAGGGGTGGACTGACAACTCACGGGGCCCCCGGGCAATAGGGGATCACGGGGCCCCTGTGTCCTTGCCCAGGGGCATCTCATGGGGCCCCCTACTGACCCCGGGCCCCCGGGCAGTGCCCGAGTTTCCAAATGGTCAGTCCGCCCCTGTTTGTATCCCAATGTTGCTGGAACCCTATAATGTCTTGTTATAGGAAATGGCTGTTAGGGTTTACATTTGTGGTTGGGGGGCAGTAAAAACACACAGAGGGTAGTTAGAACACCCTATCTTAAAGTGTTACTAAACCCACAACCAGGGGCGGACTGAGCATTTGGAAACTCGAGGCACTGCCCGAGGGCCCGGGGTCAGTAGGGGGCCCCATGTGATGCCTCTGGTACCTTTCATAGGCTTTTTTGGGTGTTGTTTGAGTGTGGGCAAGGACACAGGGGCCCCAGGATTTCCTATTGCCTGGGGGCCCCATGAGTTGTCAGTCCGCCCCTGCCCACAACAGTACAATCAGTCTGTAGATGCAGTAAAGCATGCTGGTTATACTCACTGTGGAACCTAAGGGGTTAATCATCCACATTGTGTAAAAAAGGCCATTTTATCCTTTCCTCTCTGATCCTCCCCTTCTTCTACTGTCCCCAATCTATCTGCTGATAGTATAGAGCCTTGGGGCAAGCTGCACATGCTGTTATACTCACTGTGGAACCTAAGGAGTTAATCCTCTGCATTGTGTAAAAAAGGCTGTTTGATCCTGTCTTCTCTGATCCTCCCCTTGTTCAACTGTCTGCGTCTTATCTCCTGATAAGACAGACTGAACAGCCATTCTGCACATGCTCAGTTTAGTGTGTATTGCTAAAGAGGGTTTTTTTTGTTCTTGGGCGTGTGCATGTGATTAGCACAGGGTCAATCAGCACTGTCCAGACAGTGGTCAGGGGTTCTGCATCCTCCTAGAGCAAAATGAAAACCCCTAATAAAAGCTTTAACCATACCTCTTAGATTGTAAGCTCCCAGGATCAGGGCCCTCCTATCCCTCTTGTATTGAACTGTATTGTCTCCCTTTATATTGTACCGCGCTGAGCAAACTGTTGGCGCTATATAAATCCTGTATAATAATATTAATTGTGTACAAAGGCTGTTTGATCCTGTCTTCTCTGCCCCTCCTCTTGTTGAATTGACCACCTGATACAGACTGAACCCGTGGTCACCTGCACATGCTCAGTTTGGTGTGTATTGTTAGGCTTTTTTTTTTTCTTGGGAGATTGCATGTGATCAGCACAGGGCCAATCAGCGCTGTCCAAACAGATGGTCTGGGGTCCTGCATCCTCCTAGAGCAGAAAGAAAACTCCTTCTACAAGCTTTAACCAGTGCTCTGCTGGACGCTGACAGAAGTTACAAGGCTGCTATATACTGCTGATGAGAAAAGGGATTTAGCTGTTTATATTTACTGAAATAATTGCATTTCCATGTTCTGTGTACTGTGGGAGACCAGATATAGTGAATGCAGGGTCCGGGGAGACCAGATATAGTGAATGCAGGGTCCGGGGAGAGCGGATATAGTGAATGCGGGGTCCGGGGAGAGCGGATATAGTGAATGCGGGGTCCGGGGAGAGCGGATATAGTGAATGCGGGGTCCGGGGAGAGCGGATATAGTGAATGCGGGTCCGGGGAGAGCGGATATAGTGAATGCAGGGTCCGGGGAGAGCGGATATAGTGAATGCGGGGTCCAGGGAGACCAGATATAGTGAATGCAGGGTCCGGGGAGAGCGGATATAGTGAATGCAGGGTCCGGGGAGAGCGGATATAGTGAATGCGGGGTCCGGGGAGAGCGGATATAGTGAATGCGGGGTCCGGGGAGAGCGGATATAGTGAATGCGGGGTCCGGGGAGAGCGGATATAGTGAATGCAGGGTCCGGGGAGAGCGGATATAGTGAATGCGGGGTCCAGGGATAGCGGGTGAATGCGGGATCCGGGGAGAGCGGATATAGTGAAGGAAATGCGTATTTGATCCCCTGCTGATGTTGACAAATTCAGCAGAAATGCGTCTAACAAATGATGACTGATCTGCATGTTCATGAGGGAAATATGGATTTGATCCCCTATCATTCAGCAGGATTTCTGGCTCCCAGGTGTCTTCATACAGGTAACAAGCTGAGATTAGAAGCAGTCTCTTAAAGGGAGTGCTGCTAATCTCATTGTGTTACCTGTATAACAGACACCTGTCCACAGGAGCATCAAACCATCAGATTCCAAACTCTCCACCATGGCAAAGACCAAAGAGCTGTCCAAGGATGTCAGGGACAAGATTGTAGACCTACACAAGGCTGGACTGGGCTACCAAACTATGGCCAAGCAGCTTGGTGAGACGGTGACAACAGTTGGTGAAATCATTCACAAATGGAAGAAACACAAAACAAGTGTCAGTCTCCCTAGGTCTGGTGCACCATGCAAGATCTCCCCTCGTGGAGTGACATGATCATGAGAACAGTGAGGAATCATCCCAGAACTACACGTGAGGATCTTGTCAATGATCTCCAGGCAGCTGGGACCACAGTCACCAAGAAAACAATTGGTAACACACTACGCCGACAAGGACTGAAATCCTGCAGTGCCGCAAGGTCCCTCTGCTCAAGAAAGCACATGTCCAGGCCCGTCTGAAGTCTGCCACTGAACATCTGAATGATGCCGAGGAGGACTGGTGGGAAGTGTTGTGGTCAGATGACACCAAAATCCAGCTCTTTGGCATCAACTCAACTCGCCGTGTTTGGAGGAGGAGGAATGCTGCCTATGACCCCAAAAACACCATCCCAACTGTGAAACATGGTGGTGGAAACATTCTGCTTTGTGGGGTGTTTTTCTGCTTTGTGGGGACAGGACAACTGCACCGCATCAAAGGGACGATGGACGGGGCAATGTACCATCAAATCTTGGGTGAGATCCTTCTTCCCTCAGCCAGGGCATTGAAAATGGGTGGTGGATGGGTGTTCCAGCATGACAATGACCCAAAACACACGGTCAAGGCAACAAAGGAGTGGCTCAAGAAGAAGCACATTAAGGTCCTGGAGTGGCCTAGCCAGTCTCCACACCTTAATCCGATTGAAAATCTGTGGAGGGAGCTGAAAGTTCGAGTTGCCAAACGTCAGCCACCAAACCTTAATGACTTGGAGAGGATCTGCCAAGAGGAGTGGGCCAAAATCCCTCCTGAGATGTGTGCAAACCTGGGGGCCAACTACAGGAAACGTCTGACCTCTGTGATTGCCAACAAGGGATTTGTCACCAAGTACTAAGTCATGTTTTGTGAAGGGGATCAAATCCTTATTTCCCTCATGAACATGCAGATCAGTCATCATTTGTTAGACGCATTTCTGCTGAATTTGTTGTTGCTATTCTGTCTCTCAGTGTTACAATACACCGAACATTCGATTTGTAAACCGATCATTTCTTTGTGAGGTGCGAACATTCAACATCAGCCGGGGAGCAAATACGCATTTCCTTCACTGTTCTTGGTCATTGAATCTCATATCTGTTAACCATTCTGAGACGAGGATAACGAGTTGTATACTTATATGGAGCGATCGCTGAGCGATCTTTATAACCTGGAAGATCCAGTGACAGATGTTCGATCCTGACGCTCCTTCAGCCACAAGACTGGAGTTGAGGTTTCACCGGCCAGCCTTGGCTCATAAATATTTGAAAGCGATGAATAATAGAGAAGCCGAACCTATCAGGTAGATCCGTCAGCCGGCCTGGGCTGTACTCGGCTCTCTCTGTCCCTGGACCCGGTCTCGAACTGTGACTAGGGATCCTCTGACGTGTTCCTGGATACCCGGGTCA